ATCCCTGTGATTTTTTGTGAGTGTTCCTTAGTCTCTCCAGACAGACGCTCTATAAGATTTGCGCTCGTACCTCGCGTTATAGAGTCTGTTAGTTACGGCGCCTGATAAGCGGCTGCCAATGTTATTATATAATGATGTGATATCTCCGGGATACTCGGCCAAACAACTCATTAGCGTCCACGCGTCTCCACCACATTCGACGCGTATCCCTGCCGTCTGACACGACGAAATGGCGCAGCACCCATATGGAATGGGTCTGGTACCTCCCGAGACATTTTATGCCACGCCAAGACGGCCCCCACCGCAGCAATCCACTTCTATGAGCGCCGATACCCCAGGAGCCTATACATGGGTTCATGACAAAAACTCCCCCATACCAGGCCCGGATTACACTCCTGTGAGACGAGGTAAATTATTTGAACTCCAAGCTTCAACACTTTTACCTTCTGTCGCCACTCCATTCACTCAAACAAATAAATCATCAGCATCTACTCTGGCCAACGCCAGCATTCCTTCAACACAACCCAGGCTCAAGGCAAAGAGACGAAATGTCTGGGAGAAGGCGGACACAATTTTGGGCACCATTGTAAAGGAGTTTGACTCCTTTGCCCATTTTCTGGAAGTGATCTTTTACAACCGAATTCCCGGTGTACCCGATCCGCGCATGACTCGCCATGTCCGCGTAGTAACCGCATTTTTGGGCGGACAAACAAATGTTACGATGGCCACCATTATCAACCTCCTTTATAACCACCCCCAGAGCCGGGCTCCGAGAGGCAGTCCTGAATTTTCGCTACATTTTTCCCCGCCGGACATCTCGTCTCCCCGTGATATCAATTGTGCTCGACCTGCGCTCTCTACCTGGGCCCTTCAAATCGTCGGCCCGGAGCTTCGCCGCCAGACCTGGGAACTCACTCAGAATGATCCCTCGGACCCCACCGACACAACTCAGCTTCGTGCGAGCACCAATGGCAGAGCAAAAAATGTCCGGCTTGCAACTTGGGATGCTTTTGGCCCCATAAGCATCCCTCGTATCGCCTCGACGTACAAGCGCCGCGCTCGTGGTCTGTGGTACGTCACGGAGTGCTGTGGTGCTCCGACAATGAACGGAGTAACCGTGCTCAGAAAACGGCGTCCTCACAACATGGTAATTCATTTATTTCTTGCCAAGCTTTTTGGTTTAATGCATACTCAGGTTCAAGTGGGGGCCATAAGCTGTCTCACGCTTTCCCGGAACCGGTACGCAAGCGGCTACCTCGCACTTCCGCTCGCAGTGTGGCAATTTGCATGCCGGACCCACGTCGATGAAAAGCGGGCTTTCAGCCGCTTCGGTTTCACTGTACACGACACCACAGCACGTGCTTGCTTGGACTCCCTCACGGACTCGAGCATGGCGGAACTCAGGACTTCTGTGGCCGAGGGAATCGCAAACGAAACCATGTATTGGCAGCTGGTACTCGATAATTGCCAGGAATACTGCCGCCAACGCGATCATCGATTGGGCCGCGAAGATGTTCTTAAAATCGGTACTGCGGCGACTGCCATCCTCTTAGAAGACTGCGCGCCCGGAGCATTCAATCTACAAGATCATATCGACCGGGTAATGCTACAGGAGCGGCGGGAACTCACGGCCCAGTCTTTGCGCGCGGACATCGATTGGAAATACGTCAACGAGCTCACCGCGCTCATTTGGGTTCGCATACTCGTCCATTTTATTCCCCAACTCGCCTCCTTGCGCGCTGAGGTCGCTGTGTCAGTGTGTCCAAATGACCAGAAGATTGTCGAGGAGGGAAGTAATGAGCGTGTTTGGCAAGTACGAGGATGGGGGTGTACATCCATAGACGTCGTATTCGCGCTCCGCTTTCTGAACCTGCAAAAGGAACTTAGTGATTGAAGTGTCTGTTTATAAGAGACTGACCTGCAATCGAAACTTCCGAAGGTCAACGTCAGCGGTGGTACGCATTTTACGCGTGAGTTTCGTGTTCTTGGGCCGATGACGCTGGGGAACCGGGGTTTTGGGCTTGGGCAGGGAAAACGGACGTAGACGTTGTGTGCCAGAGGGAAGAGGAGAGGGTGGGTATTCGATGGAGCCGACGAAACGGGGAAGGCAGTTGGAGCAGGGAAGGCGACGCACACGAGCTATGCAGTCGAGTGATGAGCCCGGTGTACTATTGCCAAACATCTTGTTGAGAAGAACGTTGAGGCAGATTGTTGCGGTGAGCATCAAAGCTTTCTCGTTATTCATCGTTGTCAAATTTTTGCTATTCTTCGCCGGCTTCCGTGAATCAGAATTATCTGTATGAATATTTATGAATAGCGAGAGCAAAGAGAAGTGAATGACTGACGGCGCGCCAGATATTTCTGTGCCGACTTCAAAGCGGCAGCTTGTACCAAAATGATCATACGGCCGATGGTGGCCGGGTCCCGACCAGCGCGGCCCCCTTGCTGAAGTGTCTGGGAAACTGTCTTGGCCACCCCAAGCTGGATGCTGTCGAATATAGACGGCACGTTAAAGCCTTGGCCGAACGCGACCGTGGAAACGATGATTTGGCACATGGGGTCGTTACGCATCAGTTCCACGGTCTTCTCGTTCTCGTCCGGCCAACACATCGCGTGGTACAGTCGAATGCGAGTGAGCCGCCGCGGGCCCGGAGGAAGAAGACGGAGGAGGAAGATGTACACCCGCCAGCAAAGTTCGATGGTAGCGCAATAAATTATTGTCTTGCGCTTGCTGGCGAGGTATTGTAGTAGATCTGGAAACGAGTCTCCGCCCAGAGTGTGCGTGAGAGTGTGGAGCAGAATTTGCAGGTTCTCTCGCTCGTTCGAGCGGCGGTAGAGATGAAAAGAGCCCGACTGGAAGCCGAGGCTTTTGCACACAGTTCTGGTGGCGGCTCCAGGTATGAGTGTCGCTGAGAGACCAGATAGGGAGACATCCGGTGGGAGACGACCTCGGACAAAGTTCCCAACGTGCCGGAAAGAAGGCCGAAATTCGCCGCCGCCCCATTCGTCGATGAGATGGGTCTCGTCAACGCTCGTAAAGGAGATGTTTTCCCGGAAATCCGGACAGTCAGTGATGAACTCCCACATCTTGTTCATGAGCTGCTCTGGATCAACACAAACGACAGGCCAACGGCACGACGCAATCTCCGCCCCTATGTTACGGCCAGCCGTGCGCGCGTCAGCCAGAGCCTCGCGTGTGCATGCGAGAGCGGGAATGCCGAGTGCTTGGAGTTCAAATACCTGAGGGTTATATACAGTAATTAAAGAGACGGCGGAAGGTATGGATCACGCACAATGTTGGCCGACAGTCCTTTGGTGGGTGCAATCACCAGTCCGACAGGCGTCTTCCTCTTCTGATGGGTAAACCCCGGGTATGTCGTGGGATTCTTCGCAACCTCAAGAAGAACGAGAATCGGGACAGCAAAAAGGGCTGATTTGCCGTCTCCCGTTGTAGTGATGCAGAGCACATCTTCGCCGTCGAGGATCCAGGCGATGACAGTGACTTGCCAGTCACGAAGGCCGCGAGTCCATTGGGGTATTTTCTTCGCGACAATCTGTTGTATGGTCACACGGCCTTGTTCACTTTGCCATTTCCGGCCTCGCGACGGAGCCATGGGCGAGTCTGGCGCTAGTACACCAAAGCGCGTCGAGAGAGTTGACAGTTGTTGGCGCGTTTGATGGGACACGTGTCTTCCGGAAGTTCCCAAAAAGGAGTTGCTTACATCATAAGGGTGGCAGCCTACTAAGGTAGCCGCCATCCACCTTCGACGAACGTCACGTGATGTTTCCTATTCCGGCGAAAACCTCTCTGCAACAATATGCAGCGTGAATTGGGTCAAACCCTTCGACCAAGTTCAAGATATCCCTTATAAATGTTTTATGGGTATGATTCTTGTAGCATAATGGGCACGAGGAATATCTAGTTCCAGATTGATCCAACGCCCGATTTCCCATCAATAATGATGGCTCGACGAGGCTTGCTGAAACTTTTGTAACTACATTGCACAGGAGGGTCCGGCCGGACCACATTTTTTTCCACAGATGAAATGGATGGATTCAAAGATATTTGTCGAGACGATTTCCCGTATCTTTCCTTGTTCTTCCAATATTAATTACTTTTCACCGTTACGCCCAATAAGGAAATCACACGTGACGTTCGTCGAGGGTGGATGGCGGCTACCTTATGACAGCGCGGTAACCACAGGACTAAGTGTTCCTCCTCACCCGTTGTTTTCCGTCCCGTTTGCCGACTATTCGAGCTATACAGATAACTTGGACGTGTTTTACGCAACACGGCCTCTCTCCCTGGAACCCCAGTGCGACAATTGTTATAAGAGGCAATACCGGGTTCAATTCCCGGTGTCCGAATGGAAGGTTCCACTGGAGTTTTTTTTTTTGTGAGTGTTCCTCTTCACGCAGTCTCGTTTGTCAACCATTCGAACCACACAGGTATGTCGGACGTGGTGTGGTGCAACACAGCCTCTTTCTCTGTGCCGGCGGACTCGTATGCGGAGGCCATACCGGGTTCGACTCCCGGCTTCCGAATTCGTCGGCTGTCCTGAGCTTTTTTGTGAGTGTTCCTCTTCGCACATGTATTTTCCATGTCGTTTATTGACACTTTTAATACAGCAGGCATGTCGGACGTGGTGCACGCAACACAGCCTCTCTCCCCCAAGTCCACGCGAGGGAATCCCGGGTTCGACTCCCGGCGTCCGAATGCGCGAGCCTCGCTTGTAAGGCATTTTTCCCTCTTAAACCCTTATTCTTTGCCTCGTTTTTTGACCGTTTGAACCAGCGAGATAACTCGGACGTGGTGTAATGCAACACAGCCCCTTTCTCTGTCGCGATACAGTCGGACGTACTTGCGGGAGGCAATACCGGGTTCGACTCCTGGCGTCCGAATTCTGCACTCTCCCGAGCTTTTTTGGGAGTCTGCCTCTTCACGCAACGTTATGTCATTTTCCGTCTCGTTTATCGACCCTTCGAACCACCCTGACACCTCGGACGTGGTGTAATGCAACACGGCCTCTTTCTCTGCACTAGATGCATGTGTGCGGGAGGCAATACCGGGTTCGATTCCCGGCGTCCGAATTCTGCTCCCCCGAGTTTTTGGTTGGGTGAGTCTTCTTCTTCCTCTTCACACAAAGTCATTTTCCGTCTCGTTTATCGACTATTCGAACCACACAGGTACCTCGGATGTGGTGTAGTGTAACACGGCCTCCCTCCCTGAAGTCCCCGCGAGGGAATTGTTATAGGAGGCAATCCCGGGTTCGACTCCCGGCGTCCGAATAGCTAAGTTTCGACCCGCTTTTTCTTCCTCTATAAAACTTCTCCTGGCGTCATTCTCGCCACTCCCCATAGCACCACTTCTCAGCTCGATATTCGCCGAAATATAAATCCCACGTAACACCATGGGCGATGTCGGTGACTCTTGCTTTAGTTTTCACTTGATTCCCACTACATTTATTGACCCCTTGAAGTAAGCAGAGAAGTCGGACGTGGTGTAGTGCAACACGGCCTCTTTCTGTGTCCAATCTTAAGCACACTTATCGAGGCAAACCCGGGTTCGACTCCCGGCGTCCGAATTCATCGGCTGTCCAGTTTTTTTTGTGAGTGTTCCTCTTCGCACATCTATTTTTCACCTCGTTTATCGACCATTCGGACTACACAGATGCCTCGGACGTGGTGTAGTGCAACACGGCCTCTCCTCTTGTGGATTGAAGCAGTGCACGGAGGCAAACTTGGGTTCGACTCCCGGCATCCGAATGCGAGATTCCTTGTGATGCTTTTTTTGTTCTTGGACCTTTTCTTCGCGTCATTCTCGCCGCTCCCGTGGCGCCACCTCTGAACTCCATATCCACAGAAGTATAAATACCATGCCGCGATGTCGGTGACTCTTGCTTTAGCCTTCACTTGATTCCCACTACTTATTGACCCCTTGAAGTAAGCAGAGAACTCGGACGTGGTGTATTGCAACACGGCCTCTTTCTCTGCATCGAAGTATGTATGTGGGAGGCAAACCGGGGTTCAACTCCCGGCGTCCGAATTCAGGAGGTGTCGACCTTCTTCTGAGTGTTCCTCTCCACACAAACTTATATTCCATCTTACCTATCGAACCACACAGATACATCGGACGTGGTGTAATGCAACACGGCCTCTCCCCCTGAAATCGGAGTGAGGGAATCGTTATAAGAGGCAATACCGGGTTCGACTCCCGGCGTCCAAATTCATCGGCTCTTGACAGGCTTGACTTTTTGGGAGTGTTCCTCTTCAAGTTATTCTCCATCCGGCTTATTGACCTTTCGAACCATGCAGGTACTTCGGACGTGGTGTACGCAACACCGCCTCTCTTCCTAATACCCTCGAAAATAGCCGACTACTGAGGCAATCCCGGGTTCGATTCCCGGCGTCCGAATACGGGCTCTTCAGAGTACCTTTTTAAAATCAGTCTTCTCGATCTTTGGGTCCTTCAATTTCTCTTCCTGAGTTCTGCCAGTGACTTCTGGCAAAGTGCAATTCATTCATGTGCGCAGGAATTAATGTAAACCATCATCCCACAAGTGAGTGAGTCTTCCCTCGACTCTGGCTCAATTTTCATCCCGTTCATCGACCCTTTGAACCACACAGATACCTCGGACGTGGTGTAGTGCAACCCCGCCTCTTTCTCTATCGGCTGAAAGAGTTATGCTGAGGCAATACCAGGTTCGACTCCCGGTGTCCGAATAGTCGATCCAATGTGCATTTTTCTTTCTTTCTTGGAACTTCTCCTGGTGTCGTTCTCGTCGCTCCCCATGGCACCACCTTCGAACTCTATGTTCACAGAAGTATGAATCCTACACAACACCATGCTGCGATGTCGGTGCGTCTTCTCTCCACTCTGGCTCAATCATTTCCATCATGTTTATCAACCGTTTGAACCCCACAGATATCTCGGACGTGGTTTAGTGCAACATGGCCTCTTTCTCTGTCCGATGTTCAGTACACTTATCGAGGCAAACCCGGGCTCAACTCCTGGCGTCCGAATTCTGCTCTCTCCCGAGCTTTTTTGGGAGTCTGCCTCTTCACGCCAAGTTAATTTCCCGCTCGTTTATTGACCATTCGAACCCCATAGATACCTCGGACGTGGTGTACCGCAACACGGCCTCCTTGTCTGCGAATACTTTTCCCGTACACTTATGGAGGCCAACCCGGGTTCGACTCCCGGCGCCCGAATTCCGAAGTCAGCTGTCAAGGTCTTTGTGAGTTCTCTTCGCGCCGTGTATTTTCACCTTGTTTATTGACCATTCGAACTACACAGATACCTCGGACGTGGTGTACGCAACACGGCTTCTTTCTCTGCGGTTGGGAATACACCTATGCGGGAGGTTCGATTCCCGGCGTCCGAATTATGTTGGATCCGCATGCGATTTTTTCTCACAATCATTCTTCTCCTGGCATCGTTTGGGTCCTTTACAGTAATTTCTCATCCTGACTTCTGACTACTGCCAACAATTCTCGCGCAGGAATTTATGGAAACCACCACCCCACAAGTGAGTGAGTTTTCCTACCATTTATGTGTGCATATTTTCGAACCCACTTATTGGCCGTTTGAAGTAAGCAGATACATTGGACGTGGTGTAATGCAACACAGCGTCTTTCCCTTTGCGAAGGTTTTCTGTGCACTTATGAAGGCAAACCCGGGTTCGACTCCCGGCATCCGAATAAACATGCAGTGCGAACTCGCTTTTTCTTTCTTTGTGGAACTTTTCTTCGCGTCGTTCTCGCCACTTTTGTGGTGCCACCTCTGAACTCAATGTTCACAGAAATATAAATCCTACGCAACACCATGTCGCGATGTCGGTGAGTCTTCCTTTAGCTTTCACTTGATTTCCACCACACTTATTGACCCTTCGAACCATACAGATATCTCAGACGTGGTGTAATGCAACACGACCTCTCTTCCTGAGCCATTGTGTTTCGACGAGTATACGGAGGCAATCCCGGGTTTGAGTCCCGGCGTCGAATGCGAGATTCCCTTCGATGCCTTTTTTTCTTTCTTGGTGAGTCTTCCTCTTCACGCCAAATTCGATGTCGTTTATTGACTATTCGAACTAGGCAGATAACTCGGACGTGGTGTACACAGCACGGCCTCTCCTCTTGTGGGTTGAAGCAGTGCACGGAGGCAATCCCGGGTTGGGCTCCCGGTGTCCGAATGGCATGCCTTCGTAGCTTTTTTTTAAAAAAAAACTTCTCTTCGCTCTCCTCTTGGCGTCGGAAATCGTGTCATGCCTACCATCCCTCCAGAAATTATGTTGCTTTGTCGGGCGTGCCAGTAGGTGAGTCTTGATTCTTCACGCACAAGCTCGATCTCGTTTATTGACCATTCGGACTACACAGATATCTCGGACGTGGTGTAGTGCAACACCGCCTCTTTTTCTGCAGTGGAAAGTGTTCTGCGGGAGGCAAACCTGGGTTCGATTCCCGGCGTCCGAATGGCAGCTGTTGACCTTTTTTTGGTGGGTCTAGTGTTGTCGCGACTTTGACTTGGCACCCGCCAAGTCGACTTGACGGAGTCGACTTGAGTCGAGTTAAGTCGAGTTATTTAGTGACTTCGGTGCGGCTCCCAGGTCAATGCGAGTCGACTTGGAGTCACTTGAGTGACTTAAGTCGGGGATTTTTTAAGTAGTGTTTAACCTGACCAAAACACGCAATTGGAGCAATTTCTTTTTTTTCTGACCGAATGTCACAGGTGTGACATGGATGTGACACATGTCACATCGAGTTCGTTTGCGTTTCCCGCTGGTCTTTGCATACTCATTAAATCTGGAAAAATACAACAAAATTTTATCATGCTACATGGGCGGATTCAGAAGCATATTTTCAGTCAAATTCCCCCAGGAACCTGGTGTATTGCAGAATAAACACTGTTGCATTATTTTGTGTATGATTCTGGTCAGGGTAGGTTGTCATGTACAATGTGGCAGCAATTATAGCTAATCCAAAAAAAGGACTTGACTTGGCCGACTTGAGTCAACTTGAGTGACTTCGAGTGACTTGAGGTTGACCAAGTCGAGTCGAGTCGAGTTAAATTTGGATCGGAGTCATTTTACTAAGTCGCGACTCGACTTTTCGAGTCGCGGCAACACTAGGTGGGTCTTCCTCTTCGCACATGTGTGTTCCATCCCGTTTATTGGCCCTTTGAACTACGCAGATCACTCGGACGTGGCGTAGTGCAACACGGCCTCTCTGAATCAGCCTGTTTGTATTCTGAACTCGTACACAGGCAGTCCCGGGTTCGACTCTTGGCGTCCGAATTATCTAGCCCTTGTGCATCTTTTAAAATCATTCTTTGGGGTCCTTTCTCTTCCCCAGTCAGGGTCCTGGCGAAGTGCACCCCATCCCGCAGGAAGTCATGTAACCACCACCCACAACTTGAAGTGAGCCTTCCTACCATTTATGCATGCATATTTCGATGCCGTTTGAAGTAAGCAGGTACATCGGACGTGGTGTAATGAAACACAGCCTCTTTCTCTGTCCGATGTTCAGTACTGTACGATCCTGTATGGGAGCAACGGCTCCGGGACCGTGACACACCCGTTGCCTTTTTTTCAGGCAACGCGACCTACCGTGAGCGTGACGGTTGCTCAAAGAAGCAACAAGAAATAAATTTGCGCAGCAACTGTGCAGGTATAGTTTGGGTATTATGGAAGTTTGTGCACTTGACTGCTGTTGGGGCACTAAACTCTTGGTTTCTCACTCATTTCAGGTGCTTTCGAGTGCATAGGATTTTTTTTCAACTATTTTTCTTGCGGCGTCACGATAAATTCAAGGCAACGAGCCTCGTCGTGACCGTGACCCCGGCAAAAAGAAGCAACGCAACGGGGCGGCCGTTACCGTGACCGTTGCTCCCATACAGGATCGTACAGTACACTTATCGGGGCAACCCCGGGTTCGATTCCCGGCGTCCGAATGGGTGTGCTTTAATAGCTTTTTTAAAAAGAAAAACAACTTTTCGCTCTTTCCCTGGCGTCGGAAACTGTGTGGTGATTACCATCCCTCCAATTCTGTTGCTTTGTCGGGCGTGCCAGTAGGTGAGTCTTGATTCTTCCATCGTGCACAATCTCGATCTCATTTATTGACCATTCGAACCACAGACAATACCGGGTTCGACTCCCGGCGTTCGAATGAAATGTTCCAGTCAAGACTTTTTTTTTTACTGGGCAAGTCTTCCTCTTCCTTTTCACACAACATTATTTTATTTTCCATCTTGTTTATTGACCTTTCGAACAGGGCAGATAACTCGGATGTGGTGTAATGCAACACGGTCTCTGTGTCTGACATGGTGGGAAGTATCTACAGTGAGGAAAACCCAGGTTCGACTCCCGGCGTCCGAATAGGTTTCATCGTTCTGCAAGTACCTTTTTTTAATCATTCTTCTCGATCTTTGTGGTCCTTTCTCTTCCCAGTCAGGGTCCTGGCGAAGTGCACCCCATCCCGCAGGAATTTATGTAAACCACCATGTGCAAGTGAGTCTTCCTGCCATTTGTGTATGCACATTTTGGCCCACTTACTGACCCTTTGAACCACACAGATATCTCGGACGTGGTGTAGTGCAACACGGCTTCTTTCTCTGTGTGGGCGGAACTCGTATGCGGAGGCAATCCCAGGTTCGACTCCCGGCGTCCAAACAGGAGGGTTCGGATTTTTTTTTTTTGGTGAGTCTTCCTCTTCGCACATGTATTTTTCACCTCGTTTATTGACACTTTTAAGACGGCAGGTATCTCAGACGTGGTGTAATGAAACACGGCCTCGCTGAATCCGCCTGTTTGTATTCTGAATTCGTACAGAGGCAATTCCAGGTTCGATTCCCGGCGTCCGAATTCGCCCCCCCTCGATCGACTTTTTTGTGAGTGTTCCTCTTCGCGCATCTATTTTCACCTCATTTATTAACCTTTTGAACCACACCAATACCTCGGACGTGGTGGAGTGCAACACGGCCTCTCTCCCTGGACTCGCTGCGAGCCTTAGAAGAGGCAAACCCGGGTTCGATTCCCGCCGTCCAAATTCATCGGCTCTTAAGTGTTTTGTGAGTGTTCCTCTTCACGCCAAATTCCATATTGTTTATTTACCCTTTGAAAGTCGGACGTGGTGTAACGCAACCCGGCCTCACTTCCTGTTCCATTGGGCTCCTGCGAATATACAGAGGCAATAGCCGTAGATCTTCCCTTCTATCCGTTGTCATCCTGGGACCCCACTTATTGGGCATTCAAACAAAGCAGCTGCACATATCTCGGACGTGGTGTAATGCAATACGGTCTCTCATCTTACCGGTCAAAGTCCTCCTGGCGTTAAAAAAGCTCAAAATCTCTCAAGTACGTTCCTTGCATCCTTTCGCGCCGCTTATAAACATAATTACGGTTTAGTGTTCAGTTCCCGTGTACTCCCTAATTTCCGTCCCTGCATTTCTTCCATCGGCGACGCTGGCATAACTCACTGCTCCGCGACGACGACGACCGCCTTCGCGATATTCTTTCCCTGCTGCACCCGCAGAATCGCGTCTCCAACAGACTCGAGACCCTGACTGACTTCCTCCGTGTACTTGATCTCGCCGGCTGCAATCGCCTGTGGAATCGTGGCGTAAAACTCTTTGTCGTACTTGTCTTCCAGGTGGAAGACAAGGATGCCGCTGATGGTGAGTGATTTGGCCCATGTTAGGTGTATATTCTGGGAGGAAAGAATCATGCATAATTGGCAGAGATCTTGGAGGGGGTAACATAACATACCATAACGGGCTCATAACCGGTGTTGTAACCTGTGAGGGTCGGAGTAAAGTGCTGGCTTGCGCGGGAACGTATACGTACCTGAGATCGTCCCGCATTCCTATACGGGGTCATCAGCATGCAGTTCAAAATTCAGCATTCAAGACACTGGAACGCACCAAGATGCGCCCGTTGATCGCCGCGTGCTCTAAAGCAGCATCGAGCATCTTTCCACCAACATTGTCCCAGTACCTTCCCGACCCCCGCATGGGTAAGCTGACCAGAGAGATGCACCGAATGGAGGTACATACACATCAATGGGCCCCTCACGAGCCAGGACTTCCCGCGTATCCGTGGTCTTGTAGTTGAAGGCGACATCCGCGCCGATCTCTCGCATGAACTTGACTTTCTCGTCCGAGCCGGCGGAAGCGATGACTTTGAGGCCGTCGCGCTTCGCCAACTGGATCACCATGCTGTCGGCCAAATGTCCCTCAGTTCTATAGATTCGTGAACATAAATGGAATATATACGAGCCGACCGGACCTGGAAAGGTAGATATTAATCCTCGTGGATCTAAGCGACCAACGGAAAACCACACACCTGCTCCCGTTGATATGAAGGCCGTTTCACCCTAAATTAGATATTAGCTGGATAAATTGGATAGTAGAAGAGCTCTAACTTTCTTCGCGCGGGAGAACTCTTTCCAGCCCATGAACGCTGTCTTGCCTAAGTATCCACTCGTGAATACCAACACTATTGCTGGAGTTATTCTCTTACCGGGCATCCCGGCCACACCGACAAAAACTGTCCACGGTAACTTGGGGTCGTTCTCGAGGAAGGTCAGCTTCTCCATACTGGGCAGGACGGTGTATTGCTGGTGAGCTGGTGCGAAGGAATCAGTCGAACAATCTTTCATACAGGTTCGGAGAAGAACTGACGCAGGACTCCGTAAACATGCTTCCCCGCCGCAACCTTGGGGTTTTCTGAGCGCAGGACGACGCACACGCCATAGCCGTCAATCCTGGGAACGGCTGCGTCAGCGTGAATGCAGAGGATGCGACGATGGCCCAACGCACGGTGCACCCAGAATGAACGCGTCCTGTGGGGAAACGAAACAGGTGAGCGGCGCCCGAGTGAAATGACCGATACGTACAGAATATGACTTTTCCTCGGCGGGACGCATCCTTCCTCGCATGTACGGATCGATCGAGAGGACGAGGGTCTTGATCAGGAAGCCTCCGTTGAGGGGCACGGTCTCGAGATCGATTTTCTGGGACGTATCATATACAATGGTCTCTCCGGGAATGGGAAAGTCTGAACGCCGGGTCAGTTCTGCTGAGACTGAAAATTAGGGCTCCGACCCGTCGCCGTCGCTGACGGGTACGGGTGCCGTCGCGACGGGCCGGGACCCGGCCGTCAACCCATCTGAACCTCTTTTCTGACGGCCGGGTACGAGACGGGTGGACCCGGCGACGGGTGCACCGGCGACGGCCGTCGACGGGTGGACGGGTCGGCAAGGTGATGATGCTCTAGGCAAAGCAAGTACCCTGGTTAATACTCCTCAGGTCAGATTCAAGTGTCCAAGATGCAATGCTATCTTGGTTGGTAGACATTTTAGGCCGTTCAGGCAAGTTTTGTACCCAGCCGACCATGCCGAGAGCCCTGCCGTAAGTCGCCAAACGGGGTCTCACGATTCCAAAATCGCGTTCGCGCCCATTTTTGGGCGGACGAGTC